GACCCACCTTGACAAGAACTCCTGAGAGCCTCCATCGGCTTAAGTGCAAGGAGGTCCTGAGACCAGGAAGTTTGAGAACTGCTGGGCCAAGATGCTAGCACAGGCCGGGTCTCTGTAAAGCCTTCTGCACATCCCATTATTATTAGGAGGAACAACCAATCGATCAGGGGAATAATTGTCAATAGGCGATTTCCCCTCTGGCCTAGGGGGTCCCGGGGTGTGGTCTGGGGAAGGGGAGCTGATTAGGGACTAGTCCCTGCAGCCAGATGTGCTCTGCTCCTGGAAGCCCCTCCCCTGACCCCCCCCCCTCTGCTTGGGGCCCAGCAGCACAGAGGGAAGGGAGCCCTGGGCTGACCTTCCCCCAGGCACCTGGTGCTGACTGCACTTCCCGCTGCTTAGAGCTCAGACTCTCCAGGGAGGCAGCTGGCACACACAAGGTGGAGGAGTTATAATAATGGCTCCTCCTTGCTTAGCATCCACCCTGTGCCCAGCGCTGCTGTAGGCACTTTTGAAAAGTAAGTCACTTGATCCCTGCAACAACTGAAGGTGGGTATCAGCAGGAGCAGCATCCGGGCACTTGACCAAAAAGTCCAAGGCCCTAACCGTCATACCCCACTGCCTCGTGCTGGGGCCGACTCCAGCTGGAGCTGACCACCAGCTGTCTCTGATTCTGGACTGCAAAGGGGTCAGGCCCTGGGAGCCCTTGGCTGTGCTGTGGCCTCAAACGTCTGGCCTGGGCACACCTCCAGGATCAGGCTGTGACTCTGAGCTCCACGTCCTTGGGCAAAGTTTTCTGGTAGGTGCTATTCTTCCTGTGCCTGCGACACTACCTGGGCACTTCAGCAAGTCCTGCTGCAAGTGTCAGCAGAGGGCAGAAATGCAGATATGAGGTGGCCTAAGATGGTCTGCAGGCCCTAGCTGCTCCTCACCTCTGGTCTGCAGGGACCCTGATGCCGCAGCCAGGCTTATGAGCGTGGCCAGCACCCAGGGGCTAGCCTACCACCCATAGCTCCCTCCCCCACTCCACCCTGAAGGACCAGGCTGGCCAAGTCAATAATTAGGACTCCATAAATGTCACCTAGTAACTTGATTTTTGTTATTGCTTATTATTATCATAAACTGTACCTATAAACCAGGGAGATCTGCGCTTTCCTCTGGCGGGTGGTCAAGATGTAAGGACCCGCGGGTCAAATCCACCTTTGAGTAAAGGGAACTGTGCCTGGTGGACAGGCGACCGGAGCGCACGGGGCAGGCAGGAGGCTCCGGTGCGCAGCCTGCAGGCCCTGGAGAGCGCCCTGGAGTCCTGGCGCCGCAAACGCGAGACGCCAGCGCCCCCTGCTGGGTGCCGCGCGCAGCACCGGCCCAAACGTCCAGCCATCTGGCCTCGTGCTACACCAGCCTGGACTGGGGTGTGGGCCTGGCGCGGGGAGCACAGGTTTGGAGGCCGCCTACTATCCAGAGCAGAGACAAGTTCGTGGGTGGGCACGCAGCGCGAGCAGCATCCGCCTTAGGCAAGGCCTTTGGCCGCGGTTAGAGGCAGTTCCATGCAGGGGACAACCAGCTGGGGTTTCTTCTACTCCAGGGGAGGTATCTCTGCAACTCGAACCCCAGGGGGTCCCTGCTTCCCAGCACCAGCTCCCCCACCTCACTTGCAGGACACTTTATGAAACTCCAAATCCCAGCACACCTTTCCTCCACCTAAGACCCGTCAGAGAAACGGTTGTGCACAAAATCTTCCATATTAGAATAAACATGGTCCAGTCAGGCCCCAGGGGAGGGAAAGGGGAACTGAGCAGGTCAGAGCCGCAGCCCACCAGGGGTCTCTGGAGCCCCAGGGGCAGTGCCAGAAGGGCCCAGCCTCCACCACAGCAGCAGCACTGGGGCGGCCCAGAAGGTCACCAAGCCTGGCAGGGTCTGTATCCGATGTGGTAGCCAGGGATGGTGTGCCAGGGGCTGCATAGCCATGCACCCGAAAAGTGGATGGCACAAAAGCGACCATTTTGCTATGCCCCCAAACTTGCATGCATCCTGGCCCTGGGCTGGGACGGCCAGAGACGGGGCATGGCCTCTCAGACTCCTGCCTCAGGTAGCTGGCCTCTTTTCATGTCACCTGGATTCCATTCCAAATTCAGCATGTGGGTCCCTCCCTCCCTACTTGGAAAGATGACTGAGAAGGGGTCCCCTGAACCAGTTGCAGCAGCTGGGGGGCATGAGGCTGGTGGGGTGGGAAGGGGGTACTGCAAAGAGCGGCTCAAAAGAACATGATTTGGCTCAACTCCCACTTTCCAAGTCCAGCTATAGTGGGACGGGAAGAGAGATGTGCAGGAAACAAAAAGGAGGTTGGGACCCTGGAGAAGAGCTCTTCCCACTGCTCCTGCCCCTTCTATCTGCTGTGCAGGTTGCCAAAAGCCCCACCCTCTTCTCAGCCCGTTGCCAGGCCAGGACCGCTGAGCCTGGGAGCGGCTGCCTCCCTGTGGCCAGCAGAGGGCAGCACAGCCCCACCGTGTTGCTCATGCACGGAGCAGATGGGCAGGACAATTCCAGGGGACAAAACTCAGGGCCACCCTGTGTACCCTCCACATCCTGGGCTAATGACAGGACGCACCCTAGCGTGGGCATCTTCTAGCATGTCATCTCCTGGGGAGCAGGGACTTTGCTGCGTTCACTGCCATAGCTCCCAGGGCCTGGTGTGCAGAAGACAATACGTATTTGAGTGTTGGGGCGAGTGTAACTGCAACTCTCTGATCTAATAGTGCTTCTGAGTGTGTCAAATGTCAGTGAGTCCTTATCCGACCATGGAGGGTCTGGGGGTGTCCATCAGGCTTGTTGCTGTGTGGGTCTGAGCAGGTCTGTCCCTGCTGCCTCCACCCTGGAGTGCCCAGAGGCCTCCCCACTTGCCCCCAACCCCAGCCCCTGGAAGCCCAGTGTTCCCACATCAGGACCTGAGACACCCCTTTGCTTGGACCCTAGCCATCTCTGCCCACTTGGGGGGGCCCTCATTATTGCATCCTGTTCTTTCCAAGTGTGCTTTTGTATTTTGTTAAAATGAGTCCTCCCGGAAAGGAGGGTGAGGGTGGAGACCTGCAGGCCGCAGCACCAGGCAGGCTGGGATAGGAATGGAGGGGGTGGCAAGAACCTCTGTCACCCCATCGGGCTGCAAAGAGAAGAGGCCCTGGTGACTGAGTGACCCGGCTGCCTTTCTGGAATCCCAGGGAGCCGTGTCCAGCACCGTGGCCTCGTGGGTGGGAGTTGTGACCTAACATCCTGTTCACAAATAAGGAAACCGAGATGAAGATGGAAGATGCACCTTACCAGGGGTCCCAGCGTAATCTGATGGTGAGACTGGAGCTAGACCCAGATCTTCTCCACACACAGGGGAATGTGGCATGTTCTGAATGATTTCAGCTGCATGAAATCCCAGAGAAGCCGAGCCTGATTCTCGGCAATGGGAAGCAGCATCTGGACGCCTAAGTGGGTGGGGAAAGGCCTGTATAAAAGTTCATAAGGGTAGGATTTTGGATGGAAATGTTCTGTACCTGACGGGTGCTCATTTGTGGTGTATATATTTGTCAACAGTCATGGAACAATCCAGTTAAAATGAGTGCATTCATTACAATTAAATTATACCTCAATATTGTGCTTTTTTAGAAAACTGGGGTTTTCTGACTCATTTCAGTGCTCTTGCCTGCCCAACTGCCCCAACTCTAGTGACATGCAGCGTGGTGTCCACCATAGGTGTCCTAGAGGCTTATAAGTGTAGCTCCTGCACCCAGAGGTGATCAAGTCCCCTCTCCCCAAGTGGACAGAGGTGGCTAGGGTCCAAGCAAAGGGGGTGTCTCTGAGGTCCTGATGTGGGAACACTGGGCTTCCAGGGACTGGGGGAGGAAGCTGGGGCAGGGGGAGGCCTCCATCTGTGTCGGAGAGTCAGGCCCCTTAACCTGCATTCTGGCAGGAACCATGTTCCAGTCAGCTGGCAAACATGGAGGTAAGAACCGGGTTTCATCTGGGGCTGCACAGAACCGGGCCAGGCATGAGCTGACCTCAGTCTAAAAGTCTGGAGCAGGAGACCTGCCCTGGTTCCCGGGACGCTGGACTTCCTGAGCCACTCACCACTGGAACAATTAACTGTCCCCAAACCTGCCATCCTTCTGAGTCTGCAGCCCAGTGAGGGACACCCAGGGTTACTTCTAGCACTCTTTCTCCCAGCAATAAATAGCTGAGAATGTAGGGAGTTCCCAGCGGCCTCTTCCAATGTGCATGTTGCCTCACTAGCCCGTGCAGGGTTTCCCCCACCATGAGACCCCCATGTTGATTAAACTGCTGCCAAGTGGCCAGCAAGCCCTGATAGGGAGCCCATAAGGAGAGCCAGGACCACCCCCCAGGGCACTCAGCTGAAGTCTACACAGTCCTCCCCTCGGGTGATAAAAGATTAAGGAGGAATTTTCAAAGCCTCAGCATGTCCTGCTCCTTTTCAGTCTAATGATCCAGGCTAGCTCTGGGGGCAAGAAGGCTCTGGAAGCACAGAGAAAAGCTGTGGCACAATACATTCACATTAGAATAAACATGGGCCAGACAGGCCCCCATGAAGGGAAGGGGGAGGGGTGGGCAGACATGCTCTGGAATCGGGCCCCAGAGGAGGGCAGTGGGTGGGCGAGGCTCGTTCCATCTGCACCCCCTGACATGGTTGATCTCCCCTTCTGGAAAAGTCCAGCCTCAACCCAGGGGGTGTGGACCCTTCCACCCCAGCAGGAGCTTACCAGGATCAGCCTTGGTCCTATGTTTAGATTTTAAAAATAAATATTTCAGACATTTCTGCAGAAAGATCCCAACTGGAAACTGGCAAGAACCAGCACCTCTGGCCACAGTTGTTCTAGTAAATTCTGGAGGCATCTGGACATCGTGGGGCTTCCCGACTTCATGAGAGCCCACACTGCTGTGTGCCCCGGCTCAGGTTTCTCAGGTCAGGTCCTCACACGGAACAACTGGATTATCTTAAAACACCGACCACAGGAGCCACGGGTGGGAGGGAACAGGTTTACTTTAGGTATAAAGGTTTACTACTATTTACACGTTATCACTATCATTATTTACATGTTTATAAAATGGAAATAAAAATGACGTATGTTTGGTGCCAAAAGTGGCCCATCCAAAGTAACGTCAGTACAAAAATAAATTTTCAAGCTAAGTGTCTTTAAAATAAATGTTATTGAAACAGGAAGGGAAAAGAAAACTTGGTCAGTCATGGGTTGAAACACAAATATCGTCACAGCGAAGAAGCCCTGGGGCAGCCACGAAGCCAGTGCCTGCTGGCGGAGCCGCCCCACGCTCTCCAGAGAACACGCGCGAACGAACAAAAAAAGATACACGAGTATGTTCCTGAGCTACAGAAGCTTAGAGCCTCTAAACATTGTGAATTCCTGCTGCAGAGGGTCCTGGGGTCTGAGCGACGGGCGCTCTCTTGTGCTCAGCTGGTGTTCAGGACGTGCCACATACGCCGCAGGAAAGCTAAGCCCACTTGGGAACCGGAAACCCTTGGGCGAATGAAGAACAGCGCACACCAGCCCTCTCTGTGGGTCAGTCATCCCAGAAGTCTCCGGGCCGCAGACAAACAGTGACACGGGCAAGGACGGGCGAAGCCGCTTGTTTGTGGAGCCCTAATGCCCGCCAGACATGCCCCTGGTGCTGGCAGAACTCCTGGCGCTACAGGGTCTCGTCCCTTTATGGATACACGCTTGTGCACACCAGGCAGCAGACTTCACAGCCAGTATAGCCGTGGCCCTGGCAGGGAAAGCAAAGCCAGCCTTGCAAAGCCTTTGCCAGCCCCAGGTGGGGCCTCTGCCTGCAGGGCTGGCTTTCCTACTCAGGGCCCAGAGCTGGGCCAGGAGTGCACCTGCCAGAGGTGGCATGCTGGGATAGGGAGAGTGCTGCATGAGCAAAGAGCATGGCCCTGCCAACTCCTGCTCTGCCTGGGGGCAGCTCAGCAGGTGCCTGCCATGCACAGGCTCCTCCAGTCCCAGCAAGGGATGCAGAGGCCGAGGGGAGCAGGAAGGAAGGAAGGAGCGAAGGAACAGGCTGCAGCTCCCTCAGAGCAGCTGGAGGTTCCGCAAGAGCCAGGCCGGCGCGCCTGGGCACCCAGGGAGGGCACCGGCAGGCCCTGAAGCTGCAGCCTGGCTCTGTTCACGGGTCCTGGACCTTGGCCCTTTTGGCTTTTAGAGACAGGTGCTGCAAGAGAAGAGAAAATGTCACAGTTGGCTTGGCTCGACAAAGAACCCAAAATTAAATGTGATTTCCCCATAATGACCAAATCAGAGTTTGCACCTGATCCACGCCTTCCCAAGGAAGGACGTGCCCCTCAGGAAGTGGTCTGGAGGGAAAGTCCAAGTGACCAGCACAGGAAATGGGCCTTCAGTCAGCCAGGCCCAACCCCAAGGGCTGGAGCTGGTCACGTGGGCCCTGTGGGAAGCTGTGTGTGAAGACACAGCTGGGCTCTGCCAAGCACACAAACACCTAGCTCCGGGTACCGGGCTTAGCTGGGACGTCACCTGGAGATCCCAAGAACTGCTCAAGACCTGCCAGGGCCAGGTAGCCTCCTGGAGCACAAGACAATCCGGCAGCTTAGCAAGTGCCCTGTGGGCCGTGCCTGTGCCCACTGCCATCCTCACAGAATGCCTGCAGTGCAAGTGCAGGGAGGCAGAAAAAGCACACACCTGGGACCCTGCCTTCCTTCCAGAAACGTCCCTCTCCACAGCAGAGGAACGTGAAGGCCCACATGATAATCACGCACATTGGAAATAGGATATTCACCAACTTTAACTCAAAGGTGAGGCCAAAAGGGCTAGAAATCCTGAAACTTGAGGCAGCGGGAGCACATGCATTTAACAAAGGACCTCTGCTCACCAGCTGAGGTGTCCCTGACACCCCTTAATGACCACAGACCGACAAGCAGGGCAGGCCCCCTCAGCGCAGTGGGGTCTTCACCCGAGGAACGCCCACTTCCCCGAGCGCTGGCAGAGCAGGCCACCGGCCCCCAGGGGTCCCGTGACTGAACCCCGGTCTCAGCACACCCGGGCACCCCGCACAGTGATGCCGCCGCGGGCAGAGCTGCAGGCCCCAAAGCTCGCAAGGAGTGAAGGAGCAAGAGGATCAACACGGCGGGGCGAAGCGCCACGAGCACGTCCTCCCGTAAGAACAGTTAACAGGGAGGAAAAGCGGCGGTCCTTGGAGCGGGCACGGACAGACGGACGGACGATAAACGGGAGACTCTGGTAACGGCCCAACGAGGAAAGGAGCCATGAAAGGGGACGAGAAAGAGAGGAAAGCGCAGAACCCCGCTACCTCCCCCGCCACAGAGCCGGCACATCCGCCAACAGACAGAAGAAGGGAAACAAGAACAAAGTAGAGGCCGAGCAGGACAGGAAAGGAACCACTGCGGGCAGCGCACCCGCAGGACTGGGGGGGGGGGGGGCGCGGCTGGGGCAGAAAGGCGCAAAGTGCACGGATGTGGCTGCCCAGGCCCCGCGCCCGCGACCTGGGTTTGCGGGGACACCCGCGGGAATCCAGAGGTGAATGACCCTCACGGAGTAATCAAAAACCGGGCGCCCTGCACGGAGCGGGGTGCAAAAGGCGCCATTTCTGCGGAGGCTGAACTGGGCCACCGCCCGTGTCCTGGACCCGCGGGCTTCGGAACTGAGAGCCCGGCTCGGAATTCGGGCATCCCCATGGCGGCGGGGCAGAGGGCAGACACAGCACCCCACACAGCTGAGTCACCGCATGCCACCCCCACTCCGTTCCCCGGAGACCACGGGGGCAAAAAGCACAGCTCCGGAAGGACGCCAGGAAGGCACTCTGGCGCCCCCGCGTGACCAGAACAAAATCACCAGCTTCCTGAGGGCCGGAAGCCAGAGAGCCCAAAACCACCCAGGCTCTGAGAGGGGGTGGGCGACGCAAAAGGGGCTAAGAAAGGAAACAAGGCGTGGGGCAAGACCCCATCCTGGAACTGAGAGCCAGGCCAGGATCCGGGCGTGGGACGCGCCCCAGCAGCGGGCACTGCACAGGGTGACAGCCAGCGTCTTGGCTCTGACAGCCCTGGAACTGAGGCCTGGAGTGCAGAATTCAGGGCGCAGGACCCATGAGGCTGCGGGCACAGTACCATATGAACACGGGGCAGACACAGCACCCAGCTTGAACAATAGCCCCGTGTTGACGTGCTCCCCTCCCCACCCCTCTGTTTCACAGAGAACCACAGGGAAAAAGCACAGGTCAGCAAGTACAGGTCTCTGGCGCCACCTAGAGACCAGAACAAATCACCAACTAGCTGACTCCCTGCTGTTACTGAGTAAATACAGAGGGAGGGAACTGTAAGGGACAATGCCCAGCAACACAGCATCAACACCCAGGTGGAGTTTTGGCATACAGTGCTGGACTGGGTCTGGTAAACAGTTTCCAGCACCACTGAAGGAGAACCCCAAAGAGATACCCGCCAACACCAGTGGCACAACGTCCCAACGCATAGAACTAATGAGAAAACAAATAGCAGGGAGAAGGAAAAATATAAATAACCAAGCAAGCCCACAGGAGAAGGACACACCACAAAAAGAAAAACAGTCACCAGCGCTCAAAAATGACATGGGAGAACTTCTCAGCCTGTCAAATAGAGAATTAATGATCATCATGATTAAAAAGCAGAAAGAAAACGAAAAGGAAAAAAAATTATTTGAGACAAATAATTGCTAAACTGAAGAATGAAATTGAGACCTCAAGAAAGGAAAGAAAAGGAATGCAGGAGACTAAAAGATTACTGGAGGAGATAAAGAACTCTGGGAAAAGCAATGAAAACAGAATCAATGAAATAGAAGAATGGATCAGTACTCTCGAAGATACAGAAATAAAAACAGCCCAAAGAGAAAAGGAGAGAGAAGTGCAAAGGAAGAAGTATGAAGACATTCTTCGACAATCATCAGACTCCATGAAGAGAGGAAAAATAAGAGTTACAGGCATTCCAGAAGGTGAGGAGAGAAACAAAGGAACTGAGAAATTATTCAAGGAGATAACTGAAGAAAACTCCCCAAGCATGAAAAAGGAGATGAATATAGACATACAAGAAGCAAGAAGAACACCCAACTACCACAATGAAAAGAAAACTACAGCAAGACACATAATAGTAAAGCTTGCAAGAGTCCAAGACAAGGAAAAATAATGAAATTGGCAAGTGGGAAGAAACAGATAACTTAGAAGGGAAAACCAATCAGGTTAACTTCAGACTCCTCTGAAGAAACACTACAGGCAAGAAGAGAATGGAGTAACATATTCGACAAACTTCACCACAGCAAATGCCAACCAAGAATACCCTGCAAAGCTCTCCTTCCACTATGAAGAAAAAATATGGACCTTCTCAGACAAATAGAAACTCCAGAAATTCATTACAACTAAACCCCCACTCCAAAAAATTCTACAAGAAGTCCTAAAGCCAAAACCAACAGAGGAATGAAGAACAGAATAAACCAAGGAATAAAATCACAAAGAAGACAAACAAAATGGCAAATACAGATGCCAACATATTAGTATTAACTCTAAATGTAAATGGATTAAACTCATCAATAAAAAGACAGTAGCAGGCTAGATTAAAAAACAAAATCCAACCTTTTGCTGTCTCCAGGAAACACATTTAACCACAAAAGATAAACACAGACTGAAAGTAAAAGATTGGAAAACAATCCTACAAGCAAATGGGCCAAAAAAGAGGGCAGGAACAGCTATACTTATATCAGATGAAATAGATTTCAAATTTAAAAAGGTAAAAAGAGACAAAGACAGACACTACATTATGATCAAGGGACAATACACCAGGAAGAAATAACACTCATCAACATATACTCACCGAATGAAGGAGTACCAAAATATATTAGACAATTATTATCAGCTCTGAAAACAGACATTAAAGAAAATACATATATAGTGGGAGACTTCAACACCCCACTCTCACCAATGGACAGATCAACAACACAATAAATAAACAAAGACACTAGAGCCCTAAATAAAGACATAGAACTCATGGATTTAACAGACATCTATAGGACATGCACCCCCAAAAATCCTAGTACACCTTTTTCTCAAGCACGCACGGATCATTATCCAGAATTGATCACATTCTGGGCCACAGACATACATCAACAGATACGTGAAGATCAAAATCATTTCAACTATGTTCTCCAATCATAAAGGCATCAAACTAGAAATAAATCATGAAAAGAAAACAAGGAACCCTCCCATGTCATGGAGATTAAAATCCACACTACTGGAAGACTATTGGTCAATGAGGATATCAAAGAAAAAATTAAAAAATACTTTGAGTTGAATAACAAGGAGGACACCACTTTCCAGAATGTATGGGATGCAGCAAAAGCAGTAATAAGAGGAAAATATATAGCAATACAGGCTCACATCAAGAAACAAGAAAGAACTCAAAGAAACAACCTAATCTCACATCTCAAAGAGCTAGAAAAAGAACAACAAAGAAAACCTAAAGCCAGTAGAAGAAAGGAAATAATAAAAAAGCAGAAATAAATGAAATGGAAATTAAAAAAAAAAAATCTAAAAGATCAATGAAACCAAAAGCTGGTTTTTTGAAAAAATAAACAAAATAGACAAACCTCTAGCCAGGCTCACAAAGAAAAAACTGGAGAAAACACATATATATAGGATTACAAATGAAAGAGGAGAAATCAGAACAGACTCAGTAGAAATCAAAAGAATAATCAGAGATTACGATGAACACTTATATGCAAACAAATTCAACAACCTAGAAAAGATGGGCAAATTCCTACAATGATATAATCATTCCAAGTTGGACAAAGAAGAAATTGAACAACTAAACAGACCAATTACAAGCAGCAAAATTGAGACAGTAATCAAAGCACTCCCCAAAAGCAAAAACCCAGGTCCAGATGGCTTCACAAATGAATTCTACCAAACACTCAGCAGTGTATTAGTGGCTATCCTACACAAACTCTTTCAAAAAATTGAAAAAGAAGGAATACTACCAAATACATTCTTCAAAGCCTACATTACACTAATACCAAAACCAAACAAAGACAGCACAAAAAAAGAAAATTACAGGCCAATCTCCTAATGAACACTGATGCAAAAATCCTCAACAAAATCCTTGCCAACAGAATCCAACAATGCATCAAAGAGATAATACACCATGATCAAGTGGGATTCAT